GCCCGTGGGGTGCGCAGCTCTAGCAAGCAGTTCTAGGCCTTCCCAGAGTGGGGGACTCGTCCGCCGCCACCGGTGGGGGTGTGCTAAGCTCTAGCAAGTACTTTTGTGGCTGCCCGGAGCAGGGGAGCTCCATTCCGGCTGCCCGCAGGAAGCTTGCGGCTCTAGCAATCAGTTCTGGACCTGCCCAGAGCCCTGGGGCGGGGTTCTTCTCTGCCGCCCGTGGGGTGCGCGGCTCTAGCAAGCAGTTCTAGGCCCTCCCAGAGTGGGGGACTTGTCCGCCGCCACCAGCGGGGGTGAGCTAAGCTCTAGCAAGTACTTTTGTGGCAGCCTGGCGCAGGGGGCTTCTCTGTGGCCGCCCACCACCTGCGGGAGGGGGGCGGCTCTAATAAGCAGTTCTGGGGCCCGCTTTGTACCTACATTTTATGTTCTTAAATGATCTTCCTTGGATTTATAGCTTGCCAAACTTCTTTCTGGGCTCAGCTCCCCGTATTTGGCTTCATAGATTCTGATTCCAACCAGTTTTTCTTCCTTTGCTCAGGAGCCTCTGACCAGGGTTGCTACCAGTCAGCCATCTTCCCAGAATCGCCCTTTAAATTTTCTAATTATCTGTTTGGCTAAGTGAACAACTTACTTTATAGTAAACTGAGATCTTTTTTTTTTTTTTTTATTGTTTGGGATTCACTGTGGGTACAAAGAATTAGGTTACACTAATTGAATTAGGTTAACACTATTGTGTTAGATAAAGTCTCTCTTGTAATTGTGCCCCACCCCCAAGAGGTGTGCCATACACTGTGACCTCCCCTTCCTCTCCCCCTCTTCCCAGTCCTTCATTCCCCTATCCCCCCTTGTATTAGCTCATCTACTGCCTTCATATTAGAGTAGAGTACATTGGATTCTTGTTTCTCCAGTCTTGTGATGTTTTACTAAGAAGAATATGTTCCACTTCCATCCGGGTTAATACAGAAGGTGTAAAGTCTCCATCTTTTTTAGGGGCTTAATATACATATACCACAGCTTGTTAATCCATTCTTGAGTTGGTGGGCATTTAGGCTGTTTCCACATTTTGGTGATTGTAAATTGAGCTACAATAAACAGTGTGGTGCAAATGTCCTTATGATAAAAGGATTCTTTTTTTCTTCTAGGTAGATGCCTAGTAATAGGATTGCAGGATCAAACTTGAGTTCTTTGAGGGTTCTCCATACCCTTTCCAAAAAGGTCATAATAGTTTGCAGTCCCAGCAGCAGGGTAAAAGTGTTCCCTTCTCTCCACATCCATGCCAGCATCTGCAGCTTTGAGTCTTTGTGATGTGGGCCATTCTCAGTGGAGTTAGGTGATACCTCAGGGTGGTTTTGATTTTCATTTCACTGATGATTAGGGATGATGAGCATTTTTTCATATGCTTGTTAGCCATTAGTCTGTCTTCTTTAGAGAGGGTTCTATTCATCTCTCTTGCCCAGTGATATATGGGATCGTTGGGTCTTTTTTGTTGATTAATTTTAGTTTTGTATAGATTGTAGTTATCAAATTTTGTCTGATTCATAATATTCAAATATCTTTTCCCATTCTGAAGGTTGTCTATTTGCTCTGGTTGTTGTCTCCTTAGCTATAAAGAAGCTTTTCAATTTAATTAAGTCCCATTTGTTTATGTTTGTTGTTGTTGCAATTGCCATAGAAGTCTTCTTCATAAAATCTTTCAGCAGGCCAATATTTTCAAGTGTTTTCTCCTCACTTTCTTCAAGGATTTTATTGTTGTATGCCTTAGATTTAAATCTTTTATACATCTTGAATCAATTTTTGTAAGTGGTGAGAGGTGCAGGTCTGGTTTCAGTCTCCCAGCACCATTTATTGAATAGGGATTTTTTTTCCCCAGTGAATGTGTTTATTAATTATAATTGACATAAAAGACATATCTAAATTGATCAAATTTTTAATGATAGCAATTGTCAGGAGGAGATTAAATTGAAACAGGAGTTGGTTGAGTTTGAATTTTAACTTTGCCTGGTAGGTATCTAAAAACTGACACCAAACTATACATTTCTTCCATTTGACTTAAATACTCTGATTAGAATTGATTGATTTTCATATATTCACAAACATGTAAATGTTCATTAAAAATGTGTGCATCAATTTGTAGCTGACTTTGGTGGCTGATTACCTGAGTTGAATTCCTGATTTTAATGGTCTTATTGAGATCTACTCTCTCCTTGTTTCCATTTTTACAATTACTTTGAATCTCATTGAAAAATATTTTAAAGAAGAGCTATGAGATGGCACCTGTGGCTCAAAGGAGTAGAGCACCGGCCCCATATGCCGGAGGTGGCAGGTTCAAACCCAGCCCCGGCCAAAAACTGCAAAAAAAAAAAAAAAAAAAAAGCTATGAAATTCATAAAACTACAACAGATGAAGAAAGAACACCACAATGGTGGTTATGAATGTGAGTGATGGATGTTACCACAGAGCAGGGTTGGGGTATACAGGGTATAAACAATCTCTTTGAAAGATGCTTTTGAACACTAGGATTGTGGGGTATTAGAATGAAGAGTGCATGCACCAGAGAGTCATGTCCTTCCAAAACCAAGTGTTAGAAATGATGACTTCTCTAGGGTCTTGACAGAATGATTCATGTGTTCCATCCCTACTTTTAACAGGGATGCCTCTCACCACTTGTTCTCTTCTTTCAGATTGATGACCCCAAAAGCACCCTAGAGGAGGGCGTTAATGAGGCTGAGGCCATCACCTCTGTGAATAATCTGGGAAGCAAGCAAGCCTTGAACACAGATTACCTTGATTCTGATTACCAAAGAGGACAGCTGTACCCGTTCCCCCTTAGTGGTGATTTCCAGATGACTACATTTGCTCTCACAAATTCAGCTCCAATGACCCAGTCTTTTCAGGAACGGTGGTACATGAATCTCAACAGCCTAATGGACCAGGCCTTGACACCGCAGTGTGGCAATGGAGAAGACCTGTATATTATCACAGGCACAGTACCCTCGGACCACAGAGTCAAAGACAGAGTGACAGTCCCCAAGTTTGTTTGGCTGGCAGCCTGTTGTGCTGTCCCGGGAGGAGGCTGGGCCATGGGCTTCATCAAGCACACTCGGGACAGTGACGTGATAGAGGATGTGATGGTAAAAGATCTTGAGAAGCTGCTTCCATTTAACCCTCAGCTGTTCTATAACAACTGTGGTGAAACTGAGCAAGACACAGAGAAAATGAAAAAAATCCTGGAAATGGTTAACAAAGTCCAAGATGAAGAGCGAGCAGTGCAGTCTCAAGAGCGCTCTACTCCCCTCTCCAGCACCAGGAGCAAGAGGTCTGTTCTGTTGCCTCCAGAGGCATCTGAGAGAAGTAGCAGCTTTTTGGGAAGCCTCATGGGCTTCATTGCTACCCCTTTCATCAAGATTTTCCAATTAATTTACTGCCTTGTGGTAGCAATCCTGAAGAGCATTGTCTATTTCCTATGGTTTGTTACCAAGCAGGTGATTAATGGCATAGAAAGTTGCCTTTACCACCTGGGATCAGCCACCATCTCATACTTTGGGGCCATTGGTGAAGAGTTGGTGAGCATACCTTGGAAGGTACTCAAGGTCATGGCCAAGGTTATCAGAGCTGTGCTCCGGATCCTCTGTTGTCTGCTGAAGGCTGTTTGCCACGTTCTAAGCATCCCTGTTCAAGTCCTTGTGGAGGTGGCCACTTTCCCTGTGTATACCATGGGCGCTATTCCCATTGTGTGCAAGGACATTGCAATGGGGCTTGGTGGTATTGTCTCTCTGCTGGTTGACACTACTTTTGGCACCATGGGTGGCTTACTTCAGTTTGTTTTTAGTGCCTGCAAGAGGTTTGGCTCCAAGGTTACTTTTGACAATTCTGGGGAATTATAGAACTCAAAAAACTAATCATGTGTAATCCCAGTGATTTTGAAAGCTACAGTATTTTGTTTTTAGAATGGGTTTCTGTTCCCTGTTGATTTCATTATATTTTGGTTTTTGGTGGGGGTGTCTGCTTGTGTTTTGCAATTTAGACTTGACACAAGAGAAATGCTCAGGGTGAGAGGAAATGTCCTGACCTGCTGTATCCCTCCAGTTAATATGTGCACACTCAAAAGCCACTGAGAACTCCAGTTACTCTGCCTGGCACAGATGACCACCTGAAATGCTCTGGTGTTCATTTGTGATGATTAAAAACTACAGAGGAGGGAATAATTAGGAAGAAGACAACTTTTAGCACAAGGGTTTCTGAGAAAAGGAGAATGGAATCTAATTCCTCCTATTACTCTTGGAGACTTCAGGCAAAACAGATTTTAAAAATCTACAATTTCTTGGCATTTGCTTCTCTTTTCCCTGACTTGGACTGATCTTGATAAAGTGCAGATGATGCTTCTATCTTGAAATAACTTCCATAGGGATATACAATTTGCTGTATCTCATAGCTTTCCATGGTTCCCAAGGACACATAAGGTTTTAATTTTTTTCCCAAAGACATTTAAGATTTAAGTTGAATTTTGCTGCGTTTTTCTTGTGGATAATAATAAGCATTTTTAAAAAGCATTTTTTGTTAATGATAAGCACTTTATGCAGAAGGTGGCGTAATGAAGTTCATAAGGGCAAATATTTTTTTGCTCCTTGAATGGTATAATACAGTCCTTGCAGGTATAAAGAAGAGAAAAAGGGGGTCAGCCCTGCTCTTAATAGGTACTGTGGATCAAAACACATCTTTAGCCAAACTTAGATTAACTTGATATATATTAAATCTCTGACAGATAAGAAACATACTAGGTCTTCTAATGCATCAAGTAAGTGTCTAATACAGTACACCCCTCTGACTTATGTCCCAAAATGATTGTTTTGGTATAACTACATAGAAAAGAGCCACAAACTAAAAATTAAAATTATTCTGTATATCTCTGAAAATATACACATAAATATTTAAGTATCACTATCTCTTAGGAAACTATTTTAAAACATGTTTGAGACTATAAAACATAATTCCCCCTCCATGCAAGTTAAATTTGAGAGATTATCCATAATTTTTTGATCAAGCGCTTATCATTTTAAATCTTGCACTAAAATATGGTAACAAGAAGGACCAAACTTTGCTGTGCTTTCCACAACTGGCATGGAATTATCTAGATTTTTTTTTTAGTGTTTTAAAGAGGTTTTGCATGGTAGGAAATGGCTAAATGTGAAATATTGAGGTTGAAGCTATAGCCCATGAGTCATTGAAAAGTTAGATACAAAAATCTGGGGTCCAGAAAGGTAACAAACAGAAAATCACGTGTCAACCATTTATATGGGGCTAGTGGATAAGAAACATGAGCGTAATGCGGGTTACATTTTGCAAAAATATAGTTAAATTGCACCCAGAGTAGAATATCAGCTAGACAAGCTGCCATCCTGATCAATTTGTGATTTAAGGTTGGAGAGTGTGAGCAACAGCCCAGCCCCTACAGTAAGATATACTGGATTCATCTCACACTCTCACAGCAGCGATTTAGCAACACTTCTCTTGGTGAGCATAAAAGTCTGTCCTTGGACATCTCTTCATTTCAGCAGTGTGAAGGTGAATGGAAGGCAGAGTTTGCCTTGGTACTGATGGGTCAAACATCCAGCTGGATAAAAGATGGGATCTTAGAAATGACCACTGGGATAGTCTGACCAGTCTCATCTGATAAGCAACCTGAGGCCCAGGGCAGCAATAGGCTGGTCCTCACTCTCATGGCTGGCTGAGGGCAGATCAGGAGCCAAGGAGGTCTGCATGTGCCCCATCACACTTGGGGTATCAAATACAGGGAATGTGTGCTATTATTTAGCTCCTCCCTGAACCACAGCAGGATTTTCTTATCCATCAGACTCCAGGCCTGAGCAATCTATTGAATCTGACATGTGTGATAAAATAATTAGCCATCTACATACAATGTCCTTGTTTCTGCACCCCATGGAACCCTCTTTTCCTTATAGCACATATTCACATACTGAAAGGCCCAAAGCAGGCACCCATGGTAGCATGAGCCCTGTAGCACTGTGCAGGGAGCATAGCGTGTAAACTACTTCTTTAGAATCATTGGGAAATACCTTCTTTTTCACCTCCAGTTGTTGAGTGTCTGTGTATTCTTGTGTGGCTTCTTGAAATCTGGGAAGGGACAATAAAGCAAAAAGTATCGTAAAGTTAGGTGACTGAGACCCTATGCCCTGGACTGCTAGTGTTAGCTGTGACTCTGGTTCACTGGAACTGCCTGCATAGGGCCTGAAGCCCTCCACCCAGTTGGCTGGACTGCTGGGCTGTTCCCAGTGAGCTGCTTTGGGCTTTGGGGTAGGAGCTTGGGTTGATGAATCCCAACTCGGGATTAAAGACTTTTGATCTATATATGGAACTTAACTTGGCTCTGTTGTGTTCTCAGGCCCCTGGAGAGGTCAGCAGCTCTCTATCATTAAGGAGCTGGTTTTCTGGTTGGGGATCAGCTATGTCTTTGGATGTTCCTCTTTTCCATTGTGCCTTTTGAGCATTGGCTTCTCACTCAGCATCAGTCTTTCACCTAAACGCAGACGAGGGTGTTGAGAGATGGAGCCAAAATGAAGCACTGTTCATCCATTCAATCCTGTATTCATCTCCCACACGTGTATTTGCACATCAAGGGTGCAGAGACGAATAATGCATGGCTCTCATCTTTGAGGAGTTCAAAATCTGGTACTGAGAATCCATGGTATGATGGGAACTGGGGCAGTCATGTACCAGCACCACACTCCTGGAACACAGGAGGAAGACCCACAGAACCACGGACCTGAGGGAGGCCATTATAGGGGGCGTGACAAAAAGTCAATTTGACATTTTCAAGCTATGTACAATGCTGTGCACCTTGCAGATGCTAAATAAAGTAATTATTGACAACCCATTAGCAGTTCTGTAAAATCCCTTTGGTGGTTAAAATGGGGATTGGGAATTACCTGTGATCCCTGCCCCCCCCCCCCATTTGGTTCTTTCGCATTAACTCAAGCAGTTTCCAGTCACATCTAGCTTTTGTTTATTCTTTAAAATTTTGAGGCATACATGAGAAAATGAGAGATGTTTGCCTCGGTTAAATAGGCCTTAGAACTTTTTCTTTTATTTTTTAAGACAAAGTCTCGCTCTGTCCCCCAGGCTAGAGTGCAGTGGCTTCGTCATAGTTCACTGCAGCCTCAAACTCCTGGGTGGAAGTGATCCTACCACCTCAGCCTCCTAAAGTGCTAGGATTACAGGTGTGAGCCACTGAACCCTCTCAGAACTACTTTTCATTGTTCTTCTTTTGGAAAGTTATTTGAGACAATGAGTGTTTTCTTCATAAATAAGCACCAAAGGCTTGTTGCTTCACTGAGTTTGAATCACAGAGACAATTACAGAAACAGTCTTCTTTGTTTGCTGTGGTGTGGGAAATAACAAGCAGTCTCTGAAGGAGGCCTGCCCCTTGGGGCCCTTGGGAGGCGTGGCCCCTCTGGGCTAGAGGTGGCAGTCATTCTTGGCTGTCTCCCAGCATGGCCAGAGTCATATGTGTGTCTGTGTCTTACTCATCACTTTGCCTAAGCTTGCCACACAGTATGTATTTTCCCAGGGTTATGCTATAAGCAGTATGGTGTGGGCTGCTTAACTTTCATAAATGTGTTCTTATTACCTCTCTCTGTAGGTATTCCCCGCCCGCCCCCCTGTCATAGATTAATTTTTGAGAACTATACTCCAAACTGATTTTTAAGCTTAAATTTCAACAAGGAAATCACTTATAACCATTTCATTTATTAGCTACAGTGAGATGCTCTCAGGCAGAGGATGTAAGATTATGTCTGGAGGGCAGGATTACACAGTGGTTGAGAGCCCAGCCTCCAGAATCAAAATGACGTAGACTCACATCTCAACTTCCCTGCATACTAACTGGTGGCCTTGGGCCAGTTACCTCTGCTTCCTTATTTATGAAATGGTGCTAATTATTAGTACCTACCATAGTGGGTTGATATGAACATTAAATGAGTTGATGAATATTAGGCACTCATTCCTGTGCTTGGCACATGGTAAGTGCTCAGGAAATGTTCACTGTTGTGGCTATACATGGTATCTGTTGTTGACAACAATATCCATACACCTTGGATGAAGCTGGCTGAAAGTTGCCCTAGAGGTCAAGATGTTTCCAGACCAAAGCTAGAGAGCCAGGATCTAAGTATGGCCCGGGAGTTGAAATAATGAATGAAAATGAAGGAAGCCCGAGCCTCATCAGTGGTGTCAGTGAATATGAAGGTACAGGAGAGTGATGGACCTGAGGGCTCAAAAGAGAAGGATCAGAAAACAGGAACTTAGCATATTTCCAGAACAATTCTGGGAAGGAGACATAAGTCTGTCTGGCTTCTGGATGCCCCCACCTTGCCAAGTCCCTGGTCTTGTAATAGATTCAGCTTCCCAAGAACCCTATTAACTGCAAGAGTAAATGAAACAGAGCATGTACAGTTTAGCCCCTAACAAGATAATGGTCCTGGCTGTCAAGAGTCATTCTTTTTATTCTTCAGTCTTTGGGGAGTTGAGCTATTATGAGTTGGTCACCCAAAAGATTAGTTTGATCCTGGGGTATTGATAAAGTAAAATTTCTGGACCCCTAAAGTTAACCCCTAGGCCCTGCTCTAGAAGGATCACCCACTGTCCCCTCATCAATGCACACTCAGTATAGTCTCCAAAAGGCCACATCTCTTCCGCTTGACATTTGTGGGTCATCTCATCCCCCCTGCAGTACCTACCTGCAAAACAGATGCCAACAACATGTTTGGACTTTGGAGGTTTGAGTATGATATAAAATTGCACAGCATCTCTGCAGATTGCATGCTAATATGTAATTTTTAAATGAGACTATTTTTATAGAGAAGAAAGTATGAACTAAATGATAATTGAAAAGAAATTATAAAAATTATAAGGGGTCTGCTTATTCTAGGTGTCTTGGTGTGGGCTATTTAATAGGCCAATCTAGAAAAAAAAATTTAAAAGTCAAAGAGACAGATGCTTGGAGCTTATAGACTTAGCTCCTGGACTGCCCCTTTCATCTGGCCTTTCCTATAGGCATCTTTTCACTTCTTTTCTGCCTCCCACTCCAAGTCCCACTCCTGGTCACTCCCACTCTGAAGTGCACATACCATGTATCTTCTGGGCTTCTAAGTCTTGACCTGCAGAACTATTTTTGCCCTTTTATCCTGATATATTTCTGCCTCTAGAAAGATCATTTTTCCCAACCCAAAGGCTTCTTTCTTATGGAACACTGCCCAGGAAGCCCCAGTGAGGATGGGGTTGGGGAGAGTCTTGCCTCATGGAC